GGGCTTTTTTGCCCGTATGGGCAAGCGAGCCAATTTCGCGGGCTAGATCAGAGGAAAATCATGGCAAACGGGAAGGGGGCAACAAATCTTACTAATCCACGTATAGCAATGAGAGCCACTGCACACGCATTCTGGAGTAAAAAGGCTCACTCTCCCAAACGTACGCCACATACACTCCTCGTCATTTGAATAGCTCAACTTTTTAATCTTTAGTATTTACACTTTTAATTTTGTTTATTTAATATTCATTACATCCGATTTTAAAACTTTATCAGAGTTAAAAAAATTTCAACAAAGGGGTACAATAAAATGCAAGTTTCAAGTGCCTGTAAAATAGCGGTGATTTTCGAAAATTTTTCTGGTGATAGTGCTGCGCATTTTCTCTCATACAAAGTATGCTCGACAAAACTTTTATATGGAATAAAATGCGCAGCACTGTCAATAAAAAATAAGTGAATTTGAAAAATCGTGGCTGTTTTATTCACTGCAGGTCATTAGGATGTCACACTCCTATGTTGACCTTCTTTAAGAACTGTTTCCAGCTCTCGAGAAAAACGAAAAAATCAGCTGCCCAGGAAATGGAAAATAAACTTTCTTTTAAGTTTTAGTTAGTAAAAAATTTTAGAATTGCATTTACCCGTAGAATATGCTATATCGTCACTAGACACGAATAAAGGCGCGAGCTCAAAAGTTGACGGCGAAAAAAGACGCATAAAAAAATTTCAGCGTCAAATACTCTTAACATACTTCGCCAAAGTTTTTTATAAGCATCTTTTTTCGCAAAATTTTTTTAAACGCTTTTTTTCACCGTCAAAACACCAGCGCGCCTTTATTCGTATGTAGTGACGATATTTTTACAACAAATTTATATTAAATAAACAAACGGAAAACTAAATACTAAGAATTTAAAGGGTGTGCAATTCAAATGACGAGGAGTGTACATGAGCAGATGTGATCACTACACAAGTAAACGCGAGCTGAAAGCGTGATTGTGTTAGTGTGCCAATTACGTTTGAATGAATTTGCGTTCGCTTTGTTACGCTCTCGCATGTATTTGCATGTGATGCTTACGCTCTTTAAGCAGGCGCTCACTCTCTGTCCATGCTTGTATATGAGCAAATTTGACATCGATATAACTGTTGCCAACTTTGTGCCTTTCGCAAAAAATTAAGTGCGTTTAGGGAATTAAAAGGCGAAAATTGTTTAGTTTAGCGCTTGTTTTGTTCTTTGGTGCCCTTTTCAAGGCAATTTTATAATAAAAACGTGATTCTATGGTGACATTGTATTTGACTTACACATATGTTAGTGTTTGGCCGAGCTTCTCCTCTGGATAATATGCTCCAAGATAATCCAAACGCAATATTTTCACACAGTCTCTATCACGGAATCCATAGAATATTCTGTTAATTAGCTGGGTGTGCGCATTTGTACAAAAGTAAGCAATTGCCTGAAAATAAAGCCTCTAGAAAAACAAACTTTTGGAATTTGTTTGCGAATAAAAAAACATTTTGCAAATTAAATTTATTAAATTGATTAACTGCGCATAGTTGGAAATATTTACAAGTTTCATTGTGTGATTACTTAAAATATTTGAACATACAGCTTTATATGCGAAAATACCATTAAACACAGCAACACAAAATTGGTGTTTTTTTGGGCGGAAAATTGCGCTATTTTCAGTATTTTGGTGCTTTTTTAAATAAAAAACTTGGCGATCAGGGCTGCCAACTTGGCTCAAACCGTGCCATTTTTGGCACTATTTTACTTGAAATGGCACTGAATTTTTCAATTTAAAATGGCACTTTTGAAAAAAAGCCAAATTTAAATACATTTTTGTGAAATCCTTTGCGTGTACTTCTTTTTCTCAACTAAAATTTTCTAATTTCTATAGTGTATACAACTGGTTTATCTTATTTTGACATTGGGCTTTTGTTTTAATTTGTCTAATTGTAATGCTAATGGGAAGAACTAAAGAGAATGACACCTTTTTTGGCACTTTTAATTTTCTATTTGGCACGTTTTAGTACTTTTTTATCCTCAATATGGCACTTCATAGCTATGGATGTTTGGCAGCCCTGTTGGCAAATTTGATCACTAGCTGACCTTCACCGAGCGCTCTTTGCTGGGTTCGGACTACAAAAATGGAAGTAAATATCAAGTATTCGTAGTAGATGTGCATTTCTTATCTTTATAAAAAATAATTCATTTCTCCTCGTATCCTTGTACAAATAAGGAGCTAAAGCGGCCTTATAAGGGTCGATACCTGTAGACTGGAAAATCGACCAGCTAGTGGTTGAGATGTCATTTACACGGGTCGATTTTGGTTGAACGACAAAAATCTACTAGAAAATCGACCCGTGTAAAGGCGCCTTAATCCAGCGAGCAATTATCATTATAGTTAAAATACCATGGTTAAAATTAATAAAAAGTTATTTCATTCTTTCTTTACCGGGACAATTGTTACATCGGTGGGCAACGACGCAATCACAGAACTTTAGACAGAGCAATATTTTTCGATCGGGTTCAAATATTGCGATTGTCAGGGCCTATTCACGAATTCAAGTGTATTTGCAAAGTTGCTGTAGCTCACCAATGTAACAATCGTGTCGATAAAAAGGTAATATATAGCTTTTAGTTTGCTATTAAAAATCCCACCTCCTTTCTATTTGAAGAGTAAATTTTTTGATGCAACAAAACGGAGCAGATTTTCAGTTGAGCGAAGTAGAGGACTAGGTTTCAAATTTTTTCGACAAAACGGAACAAATCTACTCCTATCGGAGCGAAGTCCGAACGATGGCTTATTGTGTATATGAGGAAAATTTATGCTCTTTGTTTGGTGAACAAAGTCAGTATTACCGCAGCCGTACTGCGATGAACATGATGTCGGTGGGGTATAAATAATTTTTTCGCAACTTTTCATACCCTTCCTCCCGTAAACTGTTTTTCCCTTTCTCCAACCCGCGCTCGCACTTTCGCTACTGCGCGGGCAAAAAAGTGCCCATGTCTGCATTAGAAAATGGCCCTTAAAAACTTGTACCCAACTTTAAATTTTGGTTTGGTTTTGGTTCATGAGTAAGATATAGTAGATATTTCAACCAAGGTTTTGGTTTTTGCTAACAGTTGCTCTTGCTCTATATTTGCTTATGTTGCATTGCCAACCTTTGAATTTTATGACGAATGTAGTGGAGTTTCACTCTCGGAAATGTAGTGAAGTTTCACTCTACAAAAACAAATTTATTTTTACCGGTAAGATAAGAAAACTAAAACACCTTAACCCGGTATTTCCCAGAACTTTTTTTGTCTTATATTTTGCTGAAAAGATGTAGACTTATGTATTTCGACCTCCTGAGCACGAATATGAAGTCCATTTTTCGGTACATTGTTACACTTTTCCGGAAAATGCGAAAAACTAGCGTTAACATATGGTAACCCTGGGTCGCCTAGGGTAAAAGTTTTTTCTTCAAGATAAAATGATTTTTGAGATGTTTTTTTTTAATTCACAAGAATTGGCTGTTTTAAAACATGTTTATTAAGTAAGAAAAATATACATATATTTATGATAATACAAAAAGAACTGAAATAAATCACGGTTTGGTATGGTAATTGGCAAAACACTTTACACAAAGTCCTACGTTGCATTTTATACATGCTGTCCGTCCGTTAACTTTGCATCGTTCACCGGCACAATGCCTACGATTGGATGGTACTACAAAATGCCCAGTCTGATCATAACGTAGAGTGTATTCAACTCGACCTGGTTGTTGTGCATATCTGTGGGAGGGCATCGGACCACTTGATTTGGCTTTTGTATCGTAATGTTTACAGTAGTATACTGCCAGTTGTCGTCGAAATTCTAGTTGAGTCATTGACGGCTGCGCTTTCCGATGAAGCTGCCAAGCATTTTGAACACAAGCATCTATCAGCCAGGTAAAAATGCTAGACCACCACTTTTTTCCTCTGTGTGCGATACGGTATTGGGCCAAATTTTGGTCGAATCAGTCTACTCTGCACATATATTTGTTGTATTCCGTGATCGCACAAGGGCGGGGTACATTTATTTTGACTCCACTTGCCTTCAAATAACGCTGTGCCATTGATTTCGGATTTTCACCAAAGCTGGTAGATAACATGCAGACAACATTATTATCTTTCCATTTCACCAATCGAATTCCAGTGCTTCTCATCGCAATTGATTCCGAGTAGCCTCTTTCCATTGACTTGAAGTTTTTTTTATGCACCTGTGGACAGCTTGCTGGAATACGATTTTCGCGGATTGTTCCCGTAGCATTATATCCGCATGATTTGAGATACGCTAACAAAGGATAACTGGTAAACAGATTATCAAAGTAAAACGAAAGTGGCAGCGATTTCAATCTATCAGGAAAATCATCGATCATATTGATCAAAGGGGCGGCGCATTTTCCAAACTTGGCTTCATACTCAACATTCGAACGAGGATTCTTTCCCTGGTAAATTTCGAAGTTCACCAAGTAGCCTGATGGAGTGCAAAGAGACCACACTTTGTAGCCAAATCGTAAAGGCTTCCCTTTTATGAATTACTTACATCCATGTCTACCAAAATAAGATATCATACTTTCATCGAAAGAAAGATTTTGTTCGGCATGAAAATGTTCAATCATTTTTGCTTTCAAGTGATCAGTAAGGGGCTTCAATTTCCACATTTTGTCGGCATTTACACCGGTTTTAGAAGAAGCCTTGGAATTGTCTTCGAAGAGAAGACTTTGCAAAATATCTTGAAATCGATTCCGACGCATGGTGTCACTTACAAGGTTGTTGCGAATGTCTTCATCCTGACTCCACAAATTTCTGTAACTGGCGTGATAATTGTAGCCAGTAATGATCAATATGCCGATAAACGCTCGAAGCTCACTGACTGTTATATTAGGGTTTGGTCTATTCTGTTCGATCGCATATACTGCACTTTGTTCGCAAATGTGTCCCAATAATGTGTCATCAAAAAATTTTGCAAATTGTTGGTGTGGTAGTAAATTACGACAATCTTCGTAATTTGCAACTGGAAAAATGGGAATAAGAGATGGCGAATCATTCTTTACCCATTCAAATGTTGCTTCCTTATTCCCTGGTATCAATGCAACATTTGAAGGTTTTGGCCGCACTTTACGTAACCGCTTTCTGTCTGGTGATGTTGCACGATTGGATGTTGTCGGTTGCTCCTCCATTCCTTGATATGTGTCTTCTACCACAATAACGGGCAAATCTTTTATATTTGGAGCTGAAAAATTCAGGACTTAAAAAATTAAAATGATTGGTAAACTAATATTGTTTTCAAACATGCCTCCAATTTCATCTTCTTCATCAAAATTTTGTAAATGTCGTCCACTAGTCATTACACCTTCACAGCCGCCTTCTAGCTGAGCCGGGCAAACATTATCTGGGATGCCCCCACATTCGTCTTTAGCGTCATCTTCGCCCGATATGTTTCCATCTACAGGAGGTTCGATGTAAATGGCAGTTGGTATATCTGTTAGTTGATTTTGGTCTTCTGCTTCATCGAGCTCTTGAATGTAATCAAGCATTTGTTGCAACGATAAACCACTGAAACAGTAAAATTTATAAAATACCAAAAAAATATATAAATGAATATATTAGATAAATTTACAAACCAGCTCAGAAAATCACATGAAATGCGAAAAAACATGTACCCTAGGCGACCGACGATTACCATATGGCAACGACTTGAGTAAAATGTAAAAAAATTATACAAAAACACTTGTTTTGTACAAAAATAAATTCGCATTTCATAGTTTATTTCCTTAGCTGACGACTAGTGTAATTATTAATAAAATTTCTTGAAAACGTATTGCTATATGCATATACTTACCGACGTGCCATATTGGAAAACGGGAATTATTAACTTTTTTTTTGTCACCTCAATTTGACATGCGTTAGCTTCGCTAATTGAACTCAGAATAACAGAAACTTTATTTTTTGGTAAGCAAAAAATATTTTGCATTAGATAACGTTTTTCCCTTGTAGTTTTGTTATGTCGTTTTGGATTTATTCGTGTTAAAGTAACGGCATATTTTGCATTACCATATGGTAATCGTGGGTTATTTCGGGTTAAAGTTAGGAACAATTTATCTGCCCTGTTAGTAAAGGCAACTCTACTGCTTACATTAGAAAATGGCCCTTAGGGCCCTTTTCTCATCTAACCTTTAGATTACCGGCCACTTTATCGTCTTGATATACGAGTTTTCATTTTCTCATCAGCGCATTAATTTCTCGAATCGATAAATTGTTGCTCACCCGATGCAACCTTTAAAAATTTTTACCCAACTTTAAATTTAGGTTTGGTTTTGGTTCATGAGTCAGATATATTAGATATTTCAACCAGGGATTTGGTTTTCGCTAACAGTTGCTTTTGCTCTATATTTGCTTATGTTGCATTACCAACCTTTGAAATTATTTGACGAATGTAGTGAAGTTTCACTCTCGGAAATTTATTGAAGTTTTACTCTACGGAATAACAAATTTATTTTTACCGGTAAGATAAGAAAACGAAAACACTTTAAAGTGAGGAACAATTTATCTGCCCTGTTAGTAAAGGCCACTTTACTGCTTACATTAGAAAACGGCCCTAAGTATTATATACAGCAATGTAAAACTTCAAAAGTACAAGAGTAAAAATGTCGTTCGGTTGGCGGTCGCGAAACTACTGTCGCTTTCGCCTTACAAAAGGGAAGTAGATATGTATATACGTACATACGCGTATATACGTAACAAAATGGAATAACAAATTGAGGAATTTTATAGATCAATAAGGTTGCCGGCTTGCCCATCATGACCATACCGGCCCCCTTGCACCGTTGCAATGATACGTTAGGCATCCTGTAAATTCTGCAACGACGTCACGGCTGCATTCACTAAAGTTTCTAGTTGACGGTTCTTATGGACCCGACCGCGGCGCACGGACTTCCTTGTGATGGCAGAAGACGGTTTTGTGATGGTGGTAGGCCGTTGCTGTTTCGCTGCCCTTTTTTGGCTACAAATACATACACGCGTTGTCGTGTTCCTGCGTTGTTGTTCGCCGCGATCCTGAATGGCCTTAGGTACGATTGCACTCCTAATTCCCCTTTCTTGCTTATCGTTGTGGAGGAGCGTGTGGTGTGCCACTTTACATATGCGGCAGCAGTTTCGAGAAGGGCAATTGGCGGTGGTATGCGAACGTGCCAAACAGTTTGCACAATACTTGTGTACTATGACTGCATCCAACCTTTCCATTGCGTCCATTTTTCTGAAGAACGAACAGTTGAATTAGAGGGAGGACACAACTGAAGGGGTTACGTGTCATGGGTAGTATATTAGTTCAAAATGGGTGAACTTTAGAGTGGTAGCGTGGGTTAATTATGTAAGCTGTATTAATTGGGTCTTAACATCCGCAACTCTGGCATGGTTATCAGCGCCTCGGTGAACTTTAAAGATTCTTCCCAGATGCCATTCTTGGGGTGGTAATATATCGTCTTTGACTACTACGAGTTGGCCTTCCTAGATATCATCATGGATTTGTTTCCATTTATGTCGCTAATAAAGCTCTCGTGATGCAGAATTTTCACCGTTTGCTATCTGTTTACGAGAGACATGTTTTCGGCAGTCGGTTCCGGTATTGCACGTAATGGGGCGCCTCGAAGAAAATAACCTGGAGCTAGTACTAACAGGTCCGTGGGATCTTCAGACATTGGGGATAAAGGCCTGGAGGTTAAAACTGCCTTCTTAGAAGTTGAATTTATGAGGACCGGACTCCCACAGGCCACCAATGTGAGGAGCGTGTAGAGGAATGAATTGCCATTCGACTCCATGGATACCGAAGGTGTTTACAACTTCGGAAGAAACTTGTTCGAGGAAGGCATCAA